TATTAGATGCGTGTATTAAGTAATAGATTATCGCATGTATGCAACGTAGGATGACTACTAATAGTTTTCACTATAAATAGTATTACTCAAAAGAGAATATTTGTATCAAAGAATTGTGATGTCATCTCTGAAGAGAGGAAGAGTTCATATTGAACAATTCTAAGGAACATAGTGGCCAATCCTCCATAGTTCAAGCAGATAAAGAATGGTCGAAAAGGGTGAAGATACAACACCAACTTCAATTGAAGATTCCAGAATTTTGTAGGTTTTTCCATCCCATATTTTACTACCAATTTCTTGAACCTTCTTCATAGAAGAATTCTCTAGAAGATGAAGGCAACCACCATCACCAACATTATGGAATTGTGTAGAAGAATCAACCACCTTCTTTAGCATCTATATATATCCATGTCTAGTTGCATTTTGTATGTAGAGAAAGAGAGTGAAAAGAGAGTGTAGTAAGTGAAAGAGAGAAAATATTGTGAGTGCTCCATTTCTAAATAATATAAATGAGGTTAGCGATCTTGGTGTGAATCAAAAATTGTGTAAAAAAATTTCTTATGAATAAAAATTACTTTCTTTTGATGTTTAAACTCTTCAAAGGAAAGATGATGCAAATCAACAAAAACACAAAAACAACAAGAAGATGAAGCATTATTCAAAAGACAGACTGTTCCAATAAACAGAATTAGTTTTGTAATAATATGGACAGTGCTAAATCTCAAAAGGAAATGTCGCCATTTGAATAAACAAAAGCAAGATGACAACGATAACTATGTGGCTTGAATTTGTCTTTGTTCTAGTATGCTTTCATTTTTTATTTTTTATTTTTTATTTTAATGAATATGTTTTGTCAAAGATGGTGTCTATTGGAAAAGTATGTTTGTACGAGGATATGCTACAATAAAATAAATTCTTGTTATATGCTTTATTTATTATTTGATTTCATATTTAGTTATTTAGATGCTTAAAAATTACTTAATACGAATAAATTAGATTAAGTAACTTGTAATTATATTGACCTCGTATCATAATTATTTTCCTATTATTATCATGTATGTTTAAAGTAATAAAGAAATTTGGAGATAAATTTTTGTCAAAGTTACTTAAAATATAAGATAAATTAGGAAAAGCTTTCAAATAAGTTCCTATATATCCTTATAAACCTAGTCATGTAATTAGTTTTGGTGGCAAACTAATAGCATTAGTACAAAAGTTTGCATTTTTAGTGTGGATTTAATCCTATGATATGTATATTTAGAATTTGTCCATAACTTGTTTAACATATAATGTTCATATGATTGATCGAACTGTTCTGCATGTTCAAGTGCCACAAAATAAATAAATATTTGCACCTCGTGCTCCAAAGCATGACAAACATAAATACGCCTCGACCACCAATGCTCTCTTTATGAAAGTAATGTATATCCTCAATCCCTTGACTAGTAGACAACTAGAAGCCTTGTCCAAACAATGGCATTAAAGGTCTCAACTCGACATCAGACATAGATGCCATTTAAGTATGAACTCGAACACAATCATATCAATGATGGACTTCAAGGTAATAAAATTATGCATACACATAATCAGGGGCAGAACCAAGACTTAATGCTACGAGGGGCAAAAAAATTTAAAAATTTAATGTACGAATAAAATTTATATATAATAAGAAAATTTCATAATATAAGAGTACCAATGTTTTGTTTTGTTAGACAGATGCCAGTTGGAGGAAAAATAATAAATTACGTTCCTTAAATCCCTAACCCAAGTCAGCAGAGTCGTAGACGATGGTCGATGGTTCTGCGGCTACAGACAGGGGTGAAGGTGAAAAGATTTAGATATTTTATTTTTGGGAATTATTTCAATTGGGAAAGGGGATTATACGTGAAATCGTGAATAAGAGTAGGAAGAATAAATGGGACAATGGGTACTATCTATTGATACAAATAAGTGGTCTAAAGATTAAAACAAAAAAACATTTAAGGTGAGCTAGTCCATTGAAATTAATTGTTGCTGGGCTAATATGAGCTAAAATTATAGTTCAGACAAAAAAAATAAAAATTAGTGCATTTGGACTTCGAAAACAGTGGGCTGCCACTATTAAATCCGCCCATGCACGTAACGTATTATAAGAAAAGTGCTACGAAAGCACATACCTTGACAAGGATATTGAAATTTGGACTTATTCACGAACTTCGGCAAAAGAGATCTGTTATATGAAACTCATTTAGATATAAAAGATATTTCTTCAATACCTATCTTATATGATAATCAAGCTACTCTTGCTCGAACATAAAACAAAGTGTATATTGGAAAGTCTAGACACATAAATCTAAGACACGAGTATGTAAGGAAATTAATCAACTATGGAATAATTTCTCTTACACATGTTAAGTCCAGTGAGAACTTAACTGATCTGTTTACTAAACCTCTCACAAGAGAGTTAGTAAAATCAACATCAAATAGAATGGGGTTGAAACTCTTTAAATAAATCCACCAATGATAGCAACATCACCAAAAGTATACTAAACAAATATATTTAGGTTCAAGGAGTAAATAGCAAGTCATTCGATAAGTGAATGGATTTCATCACTATTAAACTATTAAACACTATCTTAGATAAACCGTGTTGATTGTTATTGTTGGAGGGATGAGTTATAAGAAAACTCTTAATGAAGTTCAGTACGAGATATAAGTATATCTAAAAGTAACAAAGATATTGAAAGAACTTCATTTATTTGAATTTTGAGGTAGTGTCGCCTCATTAGAGCGCTGGAGTTTTCTCTCTTTAAAAGTTCAAAGAAAAAAGATAAGCGCAAGACCATATTAACACTAAACGAGTTAGAGGAACTTGTGAAAATTTAACACTTGTGTGTGTAACTTCATCGGTATTTTCTCAAGGAATAACTGGTTCAAAGTGTTCTAGCTACCTAGAATTTCGATAATGCTTTATGAGATTTACACGATGGTTAGATTCAAATGAAAAATATCTAATTCTTATGCATGAATATTGATATTTGATTATGTGATAAATGTTGATTTTGAGCAAGTGGTGGATTGTTGAAATCTTGTTGTTCAAAATCATGGATGGATGAATTAAAAGAAAGAAAAAAGGGAAATGAATGCCATGAAAAGGGCCTATGCAAGCATGCGGTCGCATAGACCCTTTCAGAGAAATCAGAGGCAGCCAAGGTTATAACTATGTGATCGCATATTTGAAAAATGTGACCGTTGGTTGGGTTTTTCGAATTTTCTGGTGGATTATTGATGAAACATTGCACCTCTTTGCTTTGAGATTAGAGCCACTTCTTATGGGATGATTAAAATCTATAAATACATGTTGTGTTCATCCAAAAATGTATGAAAAAATTCATCCAACTTTGGAAAGAAATTTTGTTTATCTACATAATCAAATTCCTCCTTTTCACTTGTTCATTTGAAGATTCATTTTGCTTTTGGTGTTTTTCATTGAAGGCTTGTTAAATCCTACAAACTATTTGTCATTTCAATCCAGTAAAAGCATCACGAGAGGAGACAAATATTGTTCGAGGACAACGATTTTTCTTCGTTTTCAAATTTTCACCGATTTTTATATTCATCATCTTCTTCTTTTATTTTCTCCATTGCTATATTTTTCAAAACATTAATCATGTAACAATTAACATTAGTCGTAAGAACTTGAATTCCATGGAACAGAAAAAGAATCTTAAAATATTGATGCATATTAAAATGCAACAATACCTGAACTCAAGCAACTCATTTCAGGCTTCAGCGACTATTCCAACAATTTTAATGTAGTTTTTCCCATATAAATTCCCCGTCGCTTTCCAAGCCACTGAATCTAGACTAGGAGACGGGCTGTGCATATGTCCAACTTCAAAATTAAGGTGTGATTGCAACCGCTGGATGATTTTTGGCCGCGAGGGGGTATGTGTGTTGATGGAATCGGTAGGTGAGCCCGGTTTAGGAAGATGATTTATGTTCTAAATTTTCTTGTGTTAATATGTTAATAGCCTATGCTTGGTTTCTTTTTTATTTTTTTTCTTTTTTATTTTTTCTCTTTTACGCAAAATCGATTCTCTGCACCAACGATGAGGCTCCTTTTATATTTTAATATATTTTTACTGCACTCACTAACACCAAAAAAGAAAATTTAAATCAATGTGTTGTAAATTTTGCCCTTTATTGAAATTCAAATCTGAAAAAGAAATGGGCACAATTATATTAAGCACTATGTGGGATGAAAATCAATTTTTCAGTAAATTTTAATAAAAATTGATTAAATATGTCGTTAAAAAGTAATAATATGATTAAAATTAATTATTGACTTTAATTCAGATTAAAAACTAGGGCTAAATAATAATCTGGTGAGCCTACTTGTTGAGGGTTATATGGGTAACTAGAGAATACTAGGTTATCCTAGTTAGTCTACACAAAAGCTTGATTTGTGGACGTCATTTTTTCAATTTCAAAATGCAGTAATTAACTCAAGCAGATTCCAATAAAGGTCCGTTTGATTGTAAAGATAAAATTTAGATGAAAAAATAAATTTTAGGAAATTAAATTGTCTAAAAATTGTTTAAATGAAAATTCTCAATTATTGTGTTTGATTGATATAATTTTTCACGTGAAAAACGTTGAAATAAAAGTATTTTTTGATATTCGTTTGACTTTGTTTTATATGAAAAATTGTCAATTAATTGAATAAAAATTCGAATTAATCTATTTGTATCGAGGGGGGTTTACCGAAGCGTTTACCCCCCTCTCACAAACACGCGGGTCCCGCGTGTATTTAATAATGTCGAGCTGTAGCCCCCACCTTGATGATGTGAGTAGGGTGTAAACAATTAAATAAATCATTATGTACGTGTAGCATAGTCCTAAAAATTATTAGTATTTGGGATCAAATTTATCTCCATTGGCTAAAAAAATTGTCTATGTGGCAAGAAAATCAATTACCTGAAAAAAAATGGAAGAACGATGAGTTTCACCATATAACTGAAAGGTTGGTGAATTATACTTGAAAAAACTAGTACTTTGCATTGAGATTTCACCAACACAAACTAAATCACGAAATACATCAAGAACCATAGTACAAGAATTTCATGTTCATGCCATTTTCTCTGCTATTTTGGCTAGAGATTTGAGATTACACCCTACTATCGTATCAGCAAACGCACGAGTATCTTCTTCACAACTATCCACCGGAATATCCACCACGTACGATTCAATCACCGCCGTCTTCCCGCCGCCTTCCTCTGCCTCATCCTCATACATACTGGTGGTGGATTGATAATTCACAAGTTTATGATCGCCACCAATAATACTGAACACCATAACATGCACATCTTCATCAAGGCGATCAAGCCTCTCTGTGCTCCTCTCCGCCGGCATACCAGACACCACCTCCACCTCCCGTACGCTGCCGGCGCCGCCACAGCCGGATCTCATTTTGCAACTTTTGATGAACTTCTTGTATATTTGAGGGTTGTCGAATTGACGAACCATGGACCAAACTAGAGGGAGTGGGGCATTTATTTTTTGAACAACAGTATTGCTGCACTGGGTTGGTGAGAGGATATGAGTATGGTGTAAACTTTTCATTTTCTCTAGTTGATTCTGAACTTTCATTTGGCTTCTTCGAAGTTGCATTAATATCTGTACGCAGCAAGTTTTCTTATATAAAAATTTGAAATAAATAGAGAATGTGTTAACCGCCATGGATGAAAAAGAAATCAGAACCGAAGAGTATTTTATTTAAAACTCTGGAGAAAATTGCTGCACCTATTTTGTCGTCATTTGTTTGAGTCGTTCGAGGTTGATAATGGTGAGTTCTTTTGGTCCCGAATCTTTATCGCGTAAGTTGATGGTTTTTGCTGGGGCAGTGGGGCCATTCCTTAGCTAGCAAGTACATAGAATAAAATATAAATGTAGAACCCGGATTTGAGTTATTTTATTAATAAGGTTGATATTTTAAAGTAAATTTCAAATTTTAGGGTCTGTTTGAGTTACATTATTTCAAAAAAATATATTTTTAAATAGTAATTTGATATCATTTTAATCACACATTTTTCATCAATACACTATTTAAGAATGTATTATTATAAAAATAATGTGGCTCAAACACCCCCTTAATATGAAACCATAGTTCATTAAATTTCGATCCGATTAAGATAAAAAAATGAGCACACAAATATTAAGATTGTTTGCTCAAATTATAGGGATTTGAGTTACTTTTATTAATAAAGTTGACATTTTAAAATAAATTTCAAATTTTAATATGAGATCATAGTTCATTAAATTTCGATCTGATTAAGACTGAAAAATAAGCCCACAAATATTAAGATTGATTTGCTCAAATTATACGGGTTTGAGCTACTCTTCTCAATTTGGTTTATATTTTAAGATAAAATATATATCTTAATATGGTATTAGAATTTATTGAACTCTGACGAGCAATTCGATAAAATTAAAACTAAAAAATGAGCATGCAAATTTCAAAATTTGTTTGTTCAAACAAGCTATCATCTTACGGAGATATTAAAGGATAAAATCTCACATTAAATAAAGATGAAAATATGGATCAACTTATGTAAATTTGAGCTACTTCTTTTAATAACATCGACTTTTTAAAATGAAATCCCGAGTTTTCATGTGTCTGGGATCCATTCTGGCCAGATTTTAATGCTGTACATTATTTGACCGTTTGAAACGTAGGTGGGGGTCCACTTTTGTAGTAAATATTGCCCTTGTTTGAACCCTATTTTTTCATCAAAATATATTTTTCAACAGTGATTAGACATTATTTCAACCATACATTTTTCAATAAAATAATATTATAAACAAATTAAATTTTATTTTTTATTTTTTAACCACTCATTTTCCATCAATACACTATTCAAAAATTCATTTTCTCCTCCAAAGTGAGACTCAAACAAGGGCATTGACTGCACATATTGTAAATTATCGAAATTGCCATGTTCTAAAGGAGAATGAATTTTATGTGAAGGGCACATTGGTAATTTCACTTAATTTAGTAAAAAATAACTGCTTCGCTCTTTAACAAAACACTGTATGGCAGCTTTATTTTGGTTAGACATTTACTTCAAGTCCCGTTTGATTTTCATTCTTTTCTTATTAAAATGAAAAATATGATCGTTATTTATCACATCAAACCATCAAATTTGAATTTTTATATCTTGTGTGGGATCCATAACTACTATATTTTTCATTCTCATTCTTCCAAAAATGAGAAACAAACGAGACCCAAAATGACTCCCAACACCCCCCTTAATAAAAAAAGGCAATTACGTTAGCACGTGGCACGTGCATTAGGTTGGTCGCACACCTGGATGGCACGTGTATAATGTTGTTGGTCTAGGTGGTCTCTCATTGGAATATATGCATGCAGTTCATCTCATCGGAAACGGAATTTCTAATATTTGGAAGCTTAAAATGAGTTGAGTTTATGGAGTGGGAGTATGGACACAACAGAAGGTGATTCCTTAATACCAATCCCGTCTAACGTTTTTGTCTCCTTTCGGGTTTCTTCTTCGTTATTTACATTTAGGGTCGTTTAATTGCAAGAATAAAATTTGGGTAGAAAGAAAATGAATTTCAAAAAATTGAATTGTCTGAAACTTGTTTTTTCGAGCATGCCAATTAATGTGTTTAATTGACATAATTTTTAACCTGAAAAATATTAAAATTTTCTATCTTTTGGTGTTCGTTTGACATTATTTTTTATGAAAATTGTCGATTAAAAGGACAAAATTTATTATAATTGGGGATAAAATTTGTTCCAAAAAAGCCTGAAAACCAATTTTCATGGGTTTGATGGGAATTGGTTGAAAATTGGTTTTCCACAAAAAAACCAAGGAAATTACATGTTTGAGGGGAGGAAGGAAAAGAAATTGTCAAAAAAATTATTGCCATCAAACATGCCAGAAGGTGAAAAATGGAACCATGGAAAATCGGCCAAATCAAATAGGCGTTAAAGTAATTCTAGTTGTACACCAGAGTTTTACCTTCGTGTGAGGGAGCTGTACATTAGATTGTAAAACTCTACATGGAATTCTTACGTTTAACATGATTGGCAAAGCAACTAAACATAGACATTTAAAGATACAAAGTTAAAAGAATAAAGTTAGTGTGCCAGATGAATTTGCCTACCTAGGTGATCGATCCTCACATTGGCATGGCACCCGCGCCAACCTTATGTGAATAAAAAATGTAAAAAATGACATCCCACACAACCCGACTATAAGTGTAGGTCAGCTGGGATGTCAAAATAATTTTGACACCCCAACATGATTGAAGTTAAAATCTTTGAATATTAGTCATATCCAGTATAGTACTTGCTAAATTTGTCTTCGGTCTTGCATATATTTTGGTTGATGCTAATGTGTTAATATGCCACTGTTTGACATCATTTACTTTACATTCTTTTTCATTATTTTTTCTATAATATTCATTTTTAATTATATATTTTCATTAAAATAATATTACACGCAAATCAAGAACTTTTCTATTTTTTTAGCTCCACATTCTTCATCAATCACTATTCTATAATACATTTCTTCAAATTAATGGCCTCAAACAAGACCTTATATTATATTTTATTTGTTGACCTTAAAATTTGATAATTGTCTATTGATCTTGGTCATCATTCTATCTATCTATAAATTACCTATATATTTGTGACATCGAGGGAGCTTGTCAACCTCAAAAAATGAAAGAGAGATTCCAATGTTATTTCAGTCAGAGTTTGTTTCTTAGTTGATTATCTTCTTTCAATGTTTGAGAGGTCCGACCTCAAAATTTTTTAATCATTTTCAATCTTTAGAAGTTTTTAGAATGAAAGTGGGATCATTTTTTCATTATGCAATGATCAACTTAAATGCAATTAATGAGGACATTTTAGTCATTTTCGTGAGTTCACGTTCTTCACCATTATGTTGAAAGTCACGAGTAAGTCTTATTTTTAAAGATTATATATTTTTTGCTCTTGGAATACTTGTCCATAATTTAATTGTCTTCACGTAAAAGCTTGGCACACTGAAACGTAGTTCATTGTGTCACACTAAAGTTTATGTCCATATGTAAAGCATGCTGAGGTAGTCTGAGGCCTAAAATTGCGTTCCTTGTCACGTATTAGGGTTCTGCACTCCTTTGCTCTGGGAGCCTTGGCTATCCAGACGTTCTTTTAGTCTAATAGGTCTCGACTACCTTGCCTTAAAAAATCGTCCCATGATATGTAAGCACGTGATAGAACCTTTTTCATGACTAACATGCAATTTGGTGCATAGTAATTATTTTAGTACGTAACAGCAGCAAAACTTGTCCCAAAAAATGGTCTAGCCGTCGTTTACACTTCGACAATTAGTTAACAGTTGAAAATAAAATATAATTGAGTGTGGAAAAAACAAGTGAAAATTGATGTTATTGGGGATTTGATTCACACTTATTCTACTTGTACAGATGATTTTGCACAGATAGCAGAGGTGGCCCTGACTATAGGCGAGGTAGGCGATCGCCTAAGGCCCCATTTTGACGAGGGCCCCGAATTCTATAAAATTAATTAGCTAATTGAAAAAAAAATGAAAATTATATTAATGAAATTATTTAAAAGAGAATTGTCATATGCAAATAAAAGATATTAATAAAAATTAAGAATACAAAAATATTAAAAAAAATTTACAAATGACATGAAATTTATATTTATTCATCTTTCAAACATCAATTTTCTTTTTGTTAATCAAACAAAAAATCTTGGATTTTTTGTCTCTTCAAATTCCACTTCAACTATCACCTACCATTATTTTTTTGTTAAACCCAACACAAAATAAATTTTCTCTTTCTTTGAAGTAAACTCTTGGACGGATGAAAATAACAATTGGCAAACAAGTCTCTTGACTTTTTAGTTTTCTCACACTCAGTCGCTGGACTCACTGATAGTCTGCCATGGCATTGCTTGACATGTTTTCTTCTCCAATTCCATTATCTTCAAAGAATCGGGTCCTATGATAGATCACATGACAATCCAAAGGTAGGCTATTATATTTAGTTTTATTTATTTATTTATTTTTGTTAGATTTGTTGAGTTTGTCAGACAATTGCTTGAGCTTGACCATCCCAGCCGAGTGAACCCGACTAAGAACGATATGATCGGAAAGTGGGTTTGAAAAATTATGACCGGGGACGAGCCACGAGCGGGAAGTTTGCAAGTTTGCATCTTTTTTTTTGCCTATTTTGCCGGTCAAATATTTCACTGCTATTTGGCCAATGATGCATAAAAAGACAAAAAAAGAAAAAATAATAAAAAAAATCTTTCACTGCTATTTGTTTTATTGTTTACAAACCAAAGGAAGGAAGACCGAAACCAAAAAACTGACATAGTGGATTGGTGGTTTACAGGTTGTTTGTGCAGCAGTAGCCTCAGTACCCCGTTCTCGATTTCAACATATTTAATTACCGTTTGTAGACTTGTAGTCCCCCATATTTAATTTAGCTTCTCATAAGTCATAATTATTATTGGTTTATAATCATATTAACATTCTTCAACTCAACATTATTTTGCAGTCAACAATACTTTGATGCTCGTACAAGCAGTCAAGCACTTAGCAAAAATGGCGTGGAAAACCGAAAACTTGAAATAAATGGAGTTCTTATACTTCCTCTAAGTGAAAACCTCT